TCGTTTTTTTGCTAGATATGGTACTTATGCACTTTAAATAATACATACATAAAAAAGTGTCAATATTATCTAATTCTAAATCATTAATATTTATTTTATTAGATTTTGGAGAAGAGAAAAAAATTGCTTTAAATAATCTCTCAGCTAGAGATGTTGAATCTAAATTAGAAGAATTGGTTTTAAATAAAGTTTCTTTAAAATCATCATGACAAATAAATAACTGACAATAATAACAATCAATAATAATAATTAAATTTTTTTATCAATTTCTTATCTATTTAATATTTTTGTCATAGTATCATATAATAGTAATTAAATAGATAAATGATGTATATTTATAGGTTAGGAACAAACATTATTGTCTGCTTTGGTATTTAAAATTAAACCAACAATTAAACCATAAAAGCCCAATACTTCAGCAAAAATCAATATTAAAATCATTCCTACAAATAATCATTGTTGTTGTGCATGCCCTCTTACACACTTTTAGAAACAAAAATATAAATATATAAATGAGTTATATATATCATAAATATTATTTCAATTAATTAACTAACAAATATTTTCCCTTTTTAATTAACACTTACAGCATCTCCAGCATCACCTATTGAATAGCTTGCTGCTAACTGGATAAGTCCTACTGCCAATCCAGATCCTAATTGAATGAATCTGTTAAAAATTATTTAAGATTAAGATTGGAGTTACTCTTATTATTATTATTATTATTATTATTATTATTATTATTATTATTATTATTATATTACTTACTATTACTATTAATATAAGTAATATTTAATTACAGAAATAAAGAATGGGAGACATTGAAGGCAAAAAAATAAATATTGATACATAAATACATGTTATATTATTATTATTTTTCTTGTTGTTAATATTATAATTTATTAATTAATTAAACTAACAACTTGCAAGATTCTGTTATCAAGACTGCCATAACAAGACCATAAACTGCAATAATCCATAATTACTGGTAAGAGTGTCTAGAAGAAAAAATCCACTTGTTATAATAACTTATTAAAACTTCTAATTGCACATTAACACTTAATATAATTAATATTTACCTTCATGATAAGTTCTGGTTTAAAGTTCCTGCTCCTGCAATACCAAATCAGATTTTGCAGTACCATAAGCTGCACCCATTGCTTTACACATGTAAATGATAAATTTATTGTTTTTTTTTTAATTAATAAAATAAATATAACAGTCTACTTTATAAAAGTTAAAACTAAATGCTTGTAATTAAAGATCATCTACAACAATAATTAATATCAAAATAAGTTAGTTAACCATCTTTTGATTTAAATCAAATTTTAAACTGAAGCAACTTACAGCTGAAGCAACTCCTGAAAAACCAAAAAATGATGAATAAATTGGACAATAGTCATTTGCTTGAATTATATTTTACATTTCTTAATGTCATTTAAAATTAGATTTCTTTTATTTGGGAGACATTGTCATGGGATGACGCTGTAATGCTAAATTTGTACCATAATCACGTGATTTAGTTTGTCTGTGACTGATTGGCATCATGTGAAAGAATACCTACTACAGTGCAGATCATCTATACTCGAAAGTTAAAAGTTGAAATATCATGTGATGCACATATTGGATTTTAAAAAAACCACTATTCAATTCGCTTTAAAAAGGGGAGTCAATTCATGTAAAAAAAAAATTGTCTCGATTTTTTTTTCATATTTTCATATTACAATTATATGCCCAAATTTGGGAATCATTTTCTTTTGATGTAAAGAACTTTTATTATTAAAAGAAGGGAAATAAATAATACAAATGGATCAATATATGTTGTAAGAAATATTCTATATATGAAAAAAAATTGTTACACGAAGTTTACTTAATCTCAATTTCTTAAACGTATAACAAAATTTGGAATTTTCAAAATGTTAAGGCTCTGCCAATTTTTAGTTTAAGAAAAACTAGCCGATAAGTTTTGAAGCTTAAGTCATGAACAATAAAACTTATCGGTTAACTTTTTTAAAATGATGTAAAAATTTTTTGTTTTAGTATTTTGAAGCTGACCAATTGTTACTATAAGCAATTAATTGATTATTGGTGATCCGCACTGTAGTTAATTTTATTGTTATTAATATTAATTATATATATATTCATAAATATTATTATTATTATTTTAATTATTATATAATAATTGTGATAATAATCCAAAGAAATTAAATATTGATATTATCTATGTGGTAACAGCTTCTTCTTACAGTTAATATATCATTATATTGATTATATTATAAAAATAAGATCTTGCTTCTATAATATCTTAAAGTTCTCCCTTCCTAAATACTTGTAATCACTTTTATCATTGTTATCTTTGGGTTATCATTCTTTTTCCTTTTCTTCTTCATTTTTAATCGGTGGTAACCATTGTATAGGATGACTATTGTAAAACGAATACGAAGGGAGAATAATCTATATAAATAGAATGAAAAAGTTAAAATGATATGAAATAGAACTATTAATCTAATTTTCAAATAATAATACTCACAATTGATGTAAATAATATACCACTACCAAATAATATAAACGTTATTTTTATATCTTGTAATAATAATCCCAAAAGAAATCCTAAAAGCTATTTACATCACAATTCAAAGATAAAGAAAAATTAGAAAAAATTGCAAGTTTGCAAAAGAAGAAAGAGGGGGTTTCCTTTTACTAACGGAAAATGTAATAACTCCAGTTTGTAATACAAAGTCTGCTAATTTCTGCCCTTCAAAATCCTACAATTTAAATAAAAAATAATCAATTGTCACATTAATTAATTAAGAATAAAATTTATAGATTAAATTATAATAAATTCTTACAATATTGCACTCAAGCCAATCTAAAGACATTTTTGATTAACAAAAGAGAAAGTTTGTTTTACGAAATCAAAAAAAAAAAATCAAGATTAGAAGGGTGCAGGAAGGACAACGAAAATAATCTAAAAAAAAATTTCCATTTATAGATCTAGATCATTTAAATTTAATTGCACATAAGAATTAAAAAAAAAGAAATATAATTTATAAAACTATTTTATGCAAACTAGAAGAAATGACTCCAAAGCAAGAAGAGATACACCATACATACGTGCATACATGCATGCATATATATATATTGTAATTAGATAGATAGCGAGATGAAGGTGATGATTTTTTTGTCTATACTTGCTTTTTTTGAAATACATAAATTCATTTTGAAGATAAATTTTATTTTGTTATTTATTATTATCTGTTGATGTAGATTTGTAATCTACATTCACTATATATACATTATGATTATTAGCATTGCAACATTTAATTTCTTTTTTTTTGTTTTCAAGGTTAAAAAAATAAACCTTTTTATTTTTTAACTACCGCAAGCTAGACTATTCATTATTCACATCTTCATCTACAAATTCCACCATCACTTTCCCTCACAACAACAATAACAATGATTTTTATTCATACACTATTGTCATTTTAGTATGTCTTATATTATGGACTCTGATTTTATTGGAGATAATGAAAGTGGAAATGGAAGTTGCAATGTTGACTATAAATAATAATGATGGATGTGATGATGGATATAATATTGTCATAAGCATTAATAACAATGTTATAAGTATTGTTATATAGCAGAATGTGAAATGATAGGAAATGAAGGAAATAAAGTAATTAAAAAAAATCCAAAAAAGATCATAGAAAAAGAAGCTACATGTGCGCCTATTATAAAGGAATTTCTGTCTAATTAAAGCGAAACGTGAAGTAAGTGGTCGTGAAATTGAACTAGCACATCATAAATCTATAACAACGTTGTTCATCTTCGCTATATATACATAATAGTGGAAACGACTCTCACTTGATGTAAGTTTTGCTAGTACAAAAATTATAACCTTTGCTCTGCAATGAAAAAACAAAAAAAAATGCCGTTCTTTTTAAAATTCATTGTTGGTACTGACTGCACAACCATTTCAAGTAGTTGACGATGATGAAGATTTTGATGAGGAGTCTTTTAGTTTTTAATAATTTTTTTTTTCATAAAAGGTAAATTCATTTAAATTTCTTCGGTATTTTGTAAAGTTCCTTGTAGGCAAGCAATCAATAATTGGGTTGATAACGCTTTCCATTAAACATTTATCATTTTTCGATTGCTGATCAATTTAAAAAAATTACTTCGATTTGCATTTTTTATAAGCCTGGATTATATATGGGCGCCTAAATTGTTTTTGGGGTTGTCTAAAGTCAAAATAGTAATAGTATTTGTCTAAATGTCTAAATTAATATAAATAGTAATGATTTGCTTTAATATAACTAAAAGTCACGTGGATATTCACAAAATCCACAAAATTCAGTAAATTATCCAATAAAAAATTCAATTTTAGCATTTTAGACAATTGAGACCATTGTCCAAATGTCTAAATTAATTTACATTGTCTAAATAATTTAGTTTAGACACCCATCTATAGCCTGAATATATTAATATGACTTGGAAATTTAAAAGGTGAATAAATAACAAAATAAAGTATAACCAGTATAAATGAACGCGTTATATGGTATGATCTATTAATTAACAGCAATGATCGCGTGAGAGGCCATACCTTAATTTAGAACAAAATAACAGGAAGAAGTCTGACTATTTAAATTAGTGAGAAGATGGGTGGATGGTGTCAACTTGCGAGTGTAACGTTGTTCATCTGTCCCTTTGGGAAACTTCGACGTGTAAATCCTAGGATTTTTTATGAGTTTGCGAGTAAAAAGAGAAAACAAATATATTTATATAACATATAAGAACATTCAAAAAACTCTTGATATTTTTGTGGAGATATCAATCCATTGGTTATTTTTCTTTCACAAAAAAAAAAAAGGAACATTTTAAAGATCTTTTAATTGCAATGATTTTTTTATTCATAATTTATTGCCAACCAGAACATCTATTGATTAATTATTATTAATGAAAACATGTTATGATGAAATCTATTCTACAGTTATTTTGATTTAAAGAACAAATAAGAAATTATTTCTTGTCTGTCCTTGTAAATTTCTAACAACACCTTTGGTACTTCTATCAATCATGAATTTACTCAATGTTGCAGGGGAAATATTACCACGTTCACCGAGTATCAAAGCAGCGGCACCGGCAACTTCGGGTGATGAAAAACTTGTTCCAGATAGTGTGGTAATACCTGTGGTGCTGCGGAATGAAGCAACTTTAATATCTCTTCCAGGAGCAAACATATCGACACATGGTCCAAAATTTGAGAAATTGGTCATTGAATCACTTGTTAATTCAGTTGCACCTACTGTGATTGCTGATGGTGAAGATGCAGGTGAAACTCCACAAGCATCACTGGCCTCATTACCGGCAGCTACAACAATATGTATACCATGATCGGTAAGAAATTTAACCATAAGGTTTAATGGTTCAAATCTTGGACCACCAAGTGACATATTGATGACGGTGTTTTTCTTTCCGCGTAGTAAATAATCCTTGAATACAAATGCTAAACCAACTATAATCTCATCATAACGTCCAGAACCTCGCGAGTTAAGTACTTTGACGCCGATAAGGTTAACATTTTCAGCTACACCAAGAGTTCTGCCACCAACAACACTTGCTACTGCGGTACCATGACCTTGATCGTCAAATAGAGGGCACCCTGCACAAAATGAACCACCAAAAACAGCACGACCACCAAATTCTCTATGGGCTGTATTTATACCGGTATCAACGATATAGACATTTACGCCTTTACCGGCTCTAGAAGGGAATCTGTAAGTTCTATCCAAAGAATATTTGCGTGTATCTATACGATCCAAATTAACTGGTGGATTTCTTTCAATAGCTGTAGCGCGTTTATTTATAACACCAATAGCTTTAGCTTCCAACACCTTTTCAACTATTGCAACATTAGGTAATCCTTTAATATGTTCTTTAACAAATTTAGAATTAAAAGAACCGGAATAACCACTAATTCCACCGACGGAGAAATGTAATATTTTATCACTTTTTTCAGAAAAAGCTGAAGTTCCTGGTTTATCTAAAGCCGAGTCGGATTTTAAACCCCAGCATTCATTGAAATATTTTAAATGTTCATCAATGGCTGAACTAGCGACAGATGGGTTTTCTTGTGGTTTAAGCATAACCATGAATCTTTCTTGATTTTTATTGAAGTCTTTTGAAGTTGCTGAGGGTTTGGGACACTCAAGTTTAGCCAAACCTGGTGATAAAAATAATAAAACCAAAGACAAGGTAGCAATTGAAAAAGATTTAAAAGAAACCATTTTGTATGTATTTTTTTGTTTTTTTTTTGTTTTGAGATAATGAGATAAATACAATGAATGAGTGAGGCAAGTTAATTCCTGAGGTGAAGGAATTGGGGGTGAAAGGAAAGGAAGATAATGAGATTGAAAATGATGAATGAGAGAATGAAGGAGTTGATTGATTGATTTATGAATGAATTAATGGATGTGAATTATTGACAAGAAACTCACGAAGAAGAAAAGGTATCGTTTATATATCAGAAAAATTGAAATTTTTGTACGCGTCCTTTATTTTTTTTGTATTCAATTAATCAATATTATGCGTCCATATTTGGTAAACCCACAATAAAAGAAGGTTAAAAATAATAATTGTTTGTTTGTACACAATTAATTGTTTGTTAAAAAATTACCAATTGATTTTATTTTCCATTTAATTCATTTAAAAAAAAATAAAAAATGAATGTCAAATTTGAATTTACAATGAATTATTTCCAAATTTAATTTCTACCAACTCTTTCTTTCCCTCAACAACGCGGTGATCGCCAAAGCGACCAATAATGATTTTATTTTCTTTTTCCATCTGTATAATTTTATTTTTACTAAAACCTCTAACGCTCGTTGTTCTTGAAAATTGTGATAACATTCATAATTTTTTAGAAATGTACAAAAAAGACTAGAAATCGAGGAGGTTCCACGTCATAGAATACATATACAAAGTGACTCTAATGCCATCAAAAACCAATTAATATTCTTTTCCAAATTAATTTGACAATTGTCGAATTTACAGAAGCATTTTTACATTGGTACAACGCATATGCACTTTAAAAATAGCAAAGTTAAGTAAAAACAATTCAACACCGGAAAGTATATAAGGAACCAATAGGAGGCTCAATATACTACCGGAATAGTTCAAAAAATGGTGCTTTTTGTTTTGCATTAACAAATTATTCTACATTAATATTTATATAATATTTATAGTGGACATTTTTTTTATTCTTTCTTTTTAATTATCTACTACTATTATTGTTACAATATATTATTATATAGTCAATTTCTCTATTTTTAAATATAACCTATATGTTGTGCTTGACGCTCAAATTAAATTAGCAATCAAAAAGGGATTGTTCAAATACACTGTATTTAGTTATACTTTTTTTATATATATTAATATTATTATGTATGCTATTACTATGTGAAAATAAATTCGAAATGAAGTTTTTTTTATCGTTATTTTTATAATAAACTCGAACTTCGTCGTTAGAATAAAATGAAAGTAATCCATTAAAGCTTTTTAATGAATACTCTTTCACATAGAAAGTCCTTCTCTACATGAATTCACAGCTATTCAAAAACGGTATTACTTTTTCACATCAAAGCTCGGATTATTTCTCAATATCGCTTTAAAAGACTTGATAGTAAATGAGAAGGTGTAGCATATGGTCATTACTTTATGGGATGTTGGTTAATAAGTTTTAGAGAGGTTTACGAAAAACTATTTTATAGAAATTTAATATATAGTCATGAAGAATTTTATGACGGGATTCAGCAAAAACTAAAAGGTATTTATTTTATTAGTGATTGTTTTATATTTTTGACTTTATATTGATTAATAAGTAAAATGTATATAAATTGTCTTTAACACTTATTTTGATCAATCCCGCCTATATAATTATTGAACGTTCGTTTTCCAAGCTTCGTAGATCTTGACTAACGCTTACTTCGATCAATCCGCCTATATAATTATTGAATAATTGATAAACATTCGTCTTGCAAGCTTCATAGATATTTATTAACACTTGCTTCGATCAACCCCGCCTATATAATAAAACGTTAATTAAATATATTTTACAAACAGCTTCGTAGATCTCGACTTTAAGACTTACTTTGATCAAACCCGCCTATAATAATAAACGTTCATTTTGGAAACTTGATTTGCAAATAGATCTTGACTTTTCGATACAAGTTATTCAATAATTGATGAAATATTCATTTGCAAAACTTAATAATTGATAAAAATTTATCAGTATATTTTACAAACTTGCTTTGGAAGCTTCGTATGTTGTCATACAAACTCGCTCAACTCTACTTTTTCTATTGAATTTTAATTTTTTTAGATTACACAATAAGAATTATGTAATAAATTTGAAATGTTGTAAACTGGTTGGTATCCCGTATTTTGTACAACTTGAAAAAAAGTTGGTATATAAGTCATAGAATTGGATTAATGGTAACCAATCATCCGGAGAAAAGTCATGCAATGATGGAGTACCAATTATGGACACTCTGTGTCCCCCACATTGGACCAGCTGTAAAGTCCTGTGTGGCAGTGGGTGGGACTCATGTAGGTGGATCATGTTGGGTGTATTGGCCCTTCGTGACATGACCCCTCTTTTTGTTAATTTTATTATTTATTTTATTTAGAAGGAAAAAGATAAAATTCATTAATTGATTTGATTGGTTACATTTGTAATATGGGGCATGCTGTAACAAGACCAGACAAAGTGAACATTGATGTTACCAAGGATTTCAGGGATCAAAATTTGTAATGTGATTATTAAAAATCTCCCATTTGTTTGTTATCTTTGTTTTTTCCTTGATATATAGGCATACATGCAGCCCAAATTGGTTTGGTGATTTCAATGGTCAAAATTATTCCAATTTCGATGGTCGAAAGTCGAAATTAATTACAGCACTCACTATTACTATTAAAAACATAAGTGTAACACCCCTTTACGACATATGTTACCCCCTTTATATATACAGGATTACTCCTATATAAAAATAATTAATATGAAACTCATTTATATCAGATCTACTATGGAACCCAAGAATTACAGCCCTTATGTTTTCAAAGTAAGTGTGATACTCAGACACTTGAAACTTACCTAAAAAAAGAAAGGATTGATCATGAAATTTACCAAGAAGAAAGAAAAATAATAAACATTAAGAAAAGAAAGTAGCATAATGGTGTATTATTTAAAGTTGGTGTTGGCAATTGATTTTGAAATTTTGCAATGGTTGCAACCTCCTGAGTTGCAACTAGTTGCCAATTCCTATATTAAATTCTTATGTTCAAGATTTTGTAGAGGTTGGCACCGTGCAAAAATTCTTTAACCGGTTAATTAACCGTTAAAATTAAGAGTTAACCGGTTAACCAATTAATTCTAGAAATGGTTAACTGGTTAACTTTATTAACTGATTAACTGGTTAATTTAGTCATGTGGAATTTTTTAACTGGTAAATTCAATCGTTCATTACTTACAAAGTAATCACACATCTGTTGAATTTTATTATTACGCACTTAATAGATTACAGTCAAAACTCGCCATA